AAAGAAAGAAAGAAAGAAAGAAAGAAAGAAAGAAAGAAAGAAAGAAAGAAAGAAAGAAAGAAAGACTGAAAGGAGAAGAGAGGAGGAAAAAAGGAGGGGAAATATGGGGCATGAAAACAGAGAAGACGAGAGAAAGGAGAAGATGGGAGAGGAGGAGGAGAGAGGCAGGCGAAGGGAGGGGACGGGAGAGGTAGAAATGAAAAGAGAGGAGAGAAGGGAAGAGAAAGAAAGGAGGAAAGAGAGGAGAAAGGAAGAGGAAAAGAAGTGAAAGAGGATGAAAGGGGATGGGAGGGAAAAGGAGAGGAGAGGAAAGAAGAGAGTGAAGAAGAGAAAAGGGAGAGGAGACAAGAGAGGGAAGATGGGAGAGAGGAGGGGGGAGGTGGAGAGAAAAAGAGAGGAGAGAAGGAAAAGGAGAGAAAGAGAGGAGGACAGAAGAGGAAGAGAGGGAACAGGATGGAAGGAGAGGAGAGGGGAGGGGAATAGAGGGGAGAGGAGGGGAGGAGAGGAGAGGCTGGGGGGCAGGCAAACCCCTCAGGCATCCCCTTGTCCTTCATACGCTTCTCTACTCCATGCCTCAGCCAGCTGGAACACTGGACCGGCCCATCAATCCACCTCCACCTTGGAATTCCAGGTAAGAGCTTCAGGCAAAGGCCAAAGCTGTGTCCACGTCCACAAAGCAAGGTGAAGAACTGGGGTCTCACTTGGCCTCACCTTCACCTCTGACCAAATCAAAAACTGGGCCTCTATTTTCTTTCTTTCTTTCTTTCTTTTTTTTTTTCGAGACGGAGTTTCACTCTTGTTGCCCAGGCTGGAGTGCAATGGCGTGATCTCAGCTCACTGCAACCTCCATCTCCCTGGTTCAAGCGGTTCTCCTGCCTCAGCCTCCCGAGTAGCTGGGATTACAGGTGTGCACCACCACACCCGGTTAACTTTTGCATTTTTAGTAGAGATGGGGTTTCACCATGTTGGCCAGGCTGGTCTCGAACTCCTGACCTCAGGTGATCCGCCCCCCTCGGCCTCCCAAAGTGCTGAGATGACAGGCGTGAGCCACCACGTCTGGCTGGTGCCTCCATGTTCTACATAAACACTGAGTTCGTGAGTAGTCCTTTGGAAGGAAGGGTCAAGTTGCACCCACTCAGGAACTGGATCCATTTGAACATCAGAATCTGGGATGGTAGTGGGGGTGGGGGGTGTTATTTTAAATTAAATGGTGACTTCCTCCTGGGTTATCCCGTTTGAGTACATTGATTGGGTCTCCTAAGTCCTTTAGAAATAAACACAATCTTATCTGAGTTGTTGGTTTCAAAGTGATGGGTGTTACCTGTAGATGGCTGTAAAAAGGTCTTCAGCGGGAACGCCAAACGTCTGCAGGTACTGGTTCTTTCCTTCTCTAAGAGAGGGAAGGCTGCTGTTTAACTACCTCATCTCA